AATCGGGCGGAGTATTTTATTTCTCCTATAGTCCCAACTAATCTTTTACACGTATTTTTGATTTTGAGTGATTATTAAAACGACAATGATTGTTAGCAGCAATGGGACAAATGATCTCGTCTAGAAGGTAGTTTTAATCGTAATTAGGCCAGAAAGAGACATTTTAATATTTAATCTATTTTGATTTTAAATTTCCTGCATAAACAAAACAAATTTAGAACTTTCTTGATTCTTGAAGGTAATAGTCAATAAGATAAGTATTTACAACAGCAAAGTACAAATTTACCGCCAGAAAAATACCGAAAGGAACAAAAACAAGAAGAGAAGCTTTAAGGATGTTCAACTGTCAGTTCTTGTATTAGCCGTTCGATCTGTCGTCTGTAAACAGGCATGAAATGATCGCTTATCATCCTCTGCGATAACCTCACCTTACTATACAATGACCTCGGCGTCAGAAAGACTCCCACTCTACCTTCCTCTACCGTCTCCACTGTCTCTGGCCTCTCGGGGGTGGAACCGTCTTCTTCTTCTTCGTTAGCCTCAGGCCGGACCGTGACAATGTGCATAATTTTCCCCGGCGGAAGGAATCTGTGAGATTCTTTCATCTCAGGCGTCCGGATCTCTGGCTGTGCCACACCGGCCTCTGCGATGACGGCTTCTTCTTCTTCTTTGATTTCTTTTGCCACGTCGGCTTCTTCAGGCAGCTCTGAAGAGTCGTCGTGGTAAAGATCATGCTCCAGCTGCTGCCATAGCTCAGCTTCAGTCATCCGCTCTTCGAGTGTTTCGATTTCAGCTGGATCCTCGCATTCGTCAAGATCAGTGGCTGCAAGACGAGCAGTTGTTTCATTGTAGTTAGAACACTCAGCTTCTGATTTCCATTTCCCCGTGATTATTTCATCTGTAGAATCACTACTCGTGGTAGCAAGAAGAGTGTCTAAAGTTTCTGGTCTAACTTGGGATATTGCTTCAGAAGAATCTAACTGATGTTCTGAGTTTGATAGAGTAGCAGGGACTCTGCGCCTGGGTCCGATACATGACCAAGAAGACAAGCTTAGTGCAGGACGGGTCAGCATACTCTGAGCTCTCCTCATCACAACCTGCAAGAATTTGTTTTTTTTTTTCACAAAGTTTAGTCTCTTGAGGGCGGTTTTAAGTTTATAAGCATATTCAGCGTAGTACCTGTGTGCCACTAGAAACTGGGCGTAACATTGCACCAGCGCCAGCAACTTTTGCTTTGGCGGTGGCCATAGATGGAAGTCTTGATCCTAAAGCTGTCGCTGACCGATAAACAGTACTGAGGATTCGAGTCCGTTCAATTTGATTTCTCAAATCATTTAGCCAAGCAGACGCTGTTACCTGAGGAGATGGAAAGGGGATAGCTAATTCATAAATAAAATAAAGCCAATTTGGTGCCACTGCCATTGCAGATGAATTATCTGAAGTACAAGCCATTTTGGTTCTAATGCAGACGAATAATCTCAAGTACAGTCATTTTGGTGCTAGTGCAGATGAATAATCTCAAGTAAAGCCATTTTMGTGCTAGTGGAGAAATCTCAAGACAATAAGGCAAACGTTTTCCCAAGTATAACGATGAAACTTTTTCAGAACATAGAATCTAACCTCAGCGCGCAAGTCGTCCACCGATGCAGCAGAAAATGTAGGCACCAGATCAGCTCCATTAATGACAGTTACAATGAAGTCGTTCCCAGAGTCAGCTAGCTCCCAGGTCATACAAGCAGCTGAAGAACATAGGATTCAAAGCTCAGACGTATATCTCATCAGGAATCAACAGATGCAACTGAAAGCTATGTTGTATGAAAAACCTGGAGCAAATGTAACACAGGTAGCTGTAGAGAGCATTTTTTGCTCCCGTAAAATATATGTTAAAAGTGCAGCAGTTCCACCGCCCAAGGAGTGCCCAACGATCTGCAAACAGAATGCAGGACATTGATTGACGAGTCTGAAGAAGAGATAATATTTTGTTTTAAACAACTGTTTTCAGAGAAGGTGAAGTAGAAAAATAGAAATCAGACAGCATAAAATACCTTGATTTTGTAATCTGGATATTGCTCCAGGCCCTTGAGAAGACATGGGGTGGCAAGTTTTGCTATACACCGAGCAGCAGCAACCATACCACAATGTGCATATCCTAAGACCAAATTGCTGACCCCTCTCTCATTTACTACAGTATGATGGAAAGGCACGATTCCTCCTGTCGCAGCAGTCAAGGTGTCCTTGATGCTATGGGTTCCACGGATCAACAATAGAAAACATTTTGTATTGTGATCGACAAGAACCGTAAAAGCTGGCTTCAATATCTGCATGATGCCAATTTCACAAACTAATTCTCAACTTCTATGTCGAAAAACCGCCTAAAAGTCAAAGAGTTCTAATAATTTACCCCAGCTTTAGGTTCGTGAATAAGGACGTTTTCCTTTGTAAAGCCAGTCTCTTCTAAGAAGAGAGGAAATGGCTTCTTGGAGAAATGCCAACACAATGTCAATAAGTGCAAATAATATCTGAGTTCATTGGCTACTTCTGATCCTCTGAGCTCTATACTATCTTCACCACCAAAGACACGATCAACATGTAGAAGTCCCTGCGGTTTTAGTTACACAATTACCAAATGCTCGACTTTGACCACAAGATGATTAAAAAAAACCAAAAAACTTGTCACCGTTATACAGATCAAGAGATGTTTACCTGCCTCTTGATGAGGAAATTGATGCCAAAAGCAAGATCTCCAATTGYCCACTTCCCTAGAGTCTCGGAGTAAGTAAAACGAAGAGTCTCAGAAAGAGTAGAAATTGTTTCCAACCATGTTGCTGGAGCTTGAATAAGTCTATGCGAAACACGGTCAATCCTCAAAGAAGCGCGAGTAGCAGAAGTTTCAGAATTCTCATCGTCAACATCAGATGGACCCGCTATTAATTTCCGGTTCAGCGTGTAATATAGAAGAGCAGCTGCTCCAGCTGCTGTGGCCATAGTTGCAGTTGCCATGATCAATCTATCCCTGAAACATCAAATGCACTCGTTGCTCAGTCTAAGACGAAACTCAGTCTAAATATATAAATAAATCAAAAACTGATCTAAACTACATTTGATGCCACAATTTCAATCTCCAGAATCGGCTAAGAGTGCATATACGATCTTCGAAACATGAAAAGCTGGAAAATTGGATACAATTTCGTACAAAGGGACATTCTTTTTCACGGAATTATCCCCAAAGAATATAATTTTTGAGATAAAAAAAAAAAACTCTCACTTTCCCTGAAATTTCTCGAGAAACACAACAAACCCTACTCCTGATTCAACCAATACAGCCAGCTATAAAAAAAAAAGCTGCAAACAACACAATTGAATGTGATTTTAACTTGAAATCTAATCAATTTGCAAAGGAACAGGATCCGGAAACTAAAGCTAAAACCCCCCAAAATCACCCAAACATTGAATCGTTAAAACACGAAATTCTTTGACAATCGAACCTGGGAGAAAAAAGTAGATGGAATCGTGACCTTGATTTTAGGGGTTTACAGTAGAGAAGGTTAAAGTTGGTTGGTTATGTACGATATCTCCGTCAAGGGGGTGGTGCTTTCTCTCCGATGATGAGAACTAAAGAAGAAAATGCAAAATTGTAAACTGATTTTGTTTGCTTGCTTTGATATAAACTGCGCTACGTTTTTGTGCTGAGCAAACGCCGCGTAGTTTCGCGCCGCCGAGATCTGGTGCTAACGTGGCTATATATCATTGGATAATAAAGCCAACCTAACTAATTGTATTTAACGATAAGTTTAAAAAAAAAAAAAAATGCAAGCAGCAATAAAACTTGTTAAATGTAAAAGACTTTTGATAAATTTACAATTTACTTAGAGCAGGATCAATGGGAAGAGATAAGGAGTTACTTACAAATTAAAAATAATTAAATAATAAATATATTTTCTTAGCAACTCTAATGAAAATTGAGAGAATGGCCATTTTAAATATGAACTCTACCGATTGAGCCAATTTAATTACAAACTTGCTAATGATTCATATAAWTTACGAACTTTAAGTCAATTGAGCCATTTGAGTTATGAATTTAGTCAACATTATTAACCYTTTAAGAGACGTTAATSTCCGTTGAMTGACTAAACYCCACCMTTTTAGAAACAGATTAACAAGAACAAAAATCCCCAAATCGTGACCAAATCCCTAGT